CGCTCTTGGGGCGAGTCAACACGCGGGTAAACGAAAAAGACTTGTGAGCTCAAAGTCCCAACCAGCGGCTACTGAAAAAGCTGCCTCAAGGACTGTGTCGAGAAAATCAGTTAGGTAGGCTCAGGTCTTCCACAGTTTCCTAAATACGACTCGAGTCCTTGCCCTTTATATCTGACTTGCACTAAATTTATTGTAGATTATTTTCGACTGGCAAGGGTACTGTTGACCAGTCTTTTCTCACCTCGACCTCTTCTCGTGAAGGAAAGGGAACGAACGTTCAGGCAGTTGTTCAAAAGCACGCAGAGCCTTGCTGTGCTATCACTGAGGTCAACTCCGATTTGTCATTGACATGTGCGTCGACAACCGACGACCCAAACGAAGAAGAGACCACCGTTTCCTGTACATTGGACCAGCTCTCACCCTGGGAACGCTGGCTTCTAGAGAAGGAGGCAAAGCGAATAAAAGAGCACAAGAAACTTATGCAGAAAAGGGTTAGTTTGAGTGGACGAGATAAGCACTTAAATATTATCAACACCAACGTGCTCACATTGTCTTCCTTTATTGTTTTCTTAAATTTTTACAAAGGAAATCCAGCGTGCAAAGGAGAGGGAGGAAGAGAGGGCCCAGGCAGCAAGGAAAGAACTGCACAAAAGATTATACAGGGAATGGGTGAAAAAGAAGAGGGCCGAACTGTTGGAAGGACGTCGCGCGAAGGAGCTGGAAGCACAGGAAGCCCTCAAAACTGAAATGCAACGAAAAGAAAAGCTAAAGGTAGTTGCGCTAGCTGTGTTGTAGGATGTTCCAAGCGAAACTACCACTGTCCTACATTCATTTCCTCAGAGTTTAGTGCTCCTTGAGCGAGCCGCGCGGCAGACGCGCTGGACCAACACAGGGGCCAGATCAGGATACGGCAGGCGTTAATCGGATTGCTCGCCGATGACAAATGCCAAACATGGGGGAGGGGACGTATCGCAGGGGGTTAAGAGGGTTAAATCCTAGCAACTGCGATCTTCAGACCATGGTTCCTTAGGAGAGAAGAAGTCGGGGGAAGCCTGAATAGTAGCAATAGTTTATTCTGTAAACAGAGGAACGGAGAATAAGCAAGAAGAAGTTTGACTTCGGAGTGCACGACCAGCTAGGAGGCTAGCCGGGTCTTGAGTGCGGTAATTGTTACAAGGGCCCGGAGCTGGTTTCGTGTGAGTCAGCTTCAGGACGCTGATTGGCCCTACCAGTCTGGGGTGCGTGTGTACGCCCCAAACGCGCGTGGGCAAAGGTTGCGCATCGCATGCGGACATCGGCCATCGCGCTGGGCCGAGCGCGACCGGGCGACCAAGATTATCACTGCGAAACCACGTCTGTGGTGTCTTGCATTTGGAGGAGATGGGCTGTAGAACCGCTACAAACCTACTGTAAAACACGACATGCGAACAGGAATCACCCGCAATACAGGTGGCTCTGTGCCAAATTGAAACTGATATAGGCTTAGGATTAAGGTAAGAGCTATAGTTAGGGTCAGGGATACGTTTGGGTCAGGGTTTAGGGTAAGATTCGGGTTAGGGGTGAGTGTTAGGTTTAGGAGACGTGAATGTTTATCCTTCCTGAAATTATGAGCAAGGTCACATTCATTACTTGGCCGGAGCGTTCTTATTCGACTATCCTGGTTATGGAGCCACGTGAGTAGTCCTTACCCTTAC